CTAGAAAAATAAGTCTTTAAAAGTCTCTAATAAAAAAAAAGAAAAAAAAAAAGAAAAGAGCTTAACTTAATGGTAAAGTATGTGACTTTTAATCATTGTAATATGAGTTAAAATCTCATAGCTCTTACATAAGGCTATAAACTTTACGTAGCTCATCAGTTTTGTAAATATTTGCTGTATTACTTTTACTATTAGGTATACTAGTTTAGAATGATGTATAAATAGTCCATTTAAACCTCATGTATTTGCTAGTTTTACTTTACGCAGCAGGGTATAAAATTTACAAAGTTCAAACAATAAAACCCTGCATAAAAAAAAATTTTTTTTTTCCTTAACACTTTTGGTGTAAACTTTATGACTTTAACATATTTATTAAAAAAAACCTATCATCATAAACTTTGCACATGGTAATATTACAAACAGATAATAAGAATGATGTATATATATAAATGATACCATTTGTAAAATTGTATGAATATTTCACACTAGTTTAAGTGTGCATTAGTGATGTGCTTTAGATATTTCACTCATATTAGTATTGTATTAGTATTATATTTGAACTATTTATCCTGTAAATAAGACGGCTATAGGTTAATGGTAGACCGTTCGTCTTCCAAACGATGTGCACCGATTCGAATTCGGTTGGCCGTATAAATACTGTGCACTATAGAGTTAGTAACTTAATTGGTAAAGAACTTTCTTGTCGAGAAAGTAGATGTCGGATCGTGGCCGACTTGACTCGAACATTTAGCTGTAATAAATAAATCCTTAAATTGTAAATAAGTAAGTAAAAAAAAACTCAGGAAAAGTTGCTATAGGTAAAGCAAGATATTTGCTAAATATTGTGTTTATACACCTGATGGTTCAAATCCATTCTTTTCCGCTTTTCTGTGAATATTTAATAAACCGGCTAAATATATACCCATTAAAAAGAGTATAGTTTAATTGGCAAAACAAGAAGCTTCAAACTTCAAATTATCAGTTCGAGTCTGAGTGCTCTTGGTTTTTAACCATCAGATTTCTTAACTTAATAGGTAAAGTGTATTTTTGATAAGAATATGTTCGACGTTCAAGTCGTCGAGAAATCAATTATTATTTTTAAGCAATGTAATAAGCTAGTTAATATAAAGAGAATTGGCTGAGTGGTTTAAGGCGGTGAGCTTGAAACTCATTTGATTTAATTAATCGCATCCGTTCGAATCGGATATTCTCTGTATAATAAACAATAAGTCATCTATAATATCATGTAAACGGGTTAGAGCCGGGTTGGTTAGGCGCCTCATTTGGGTTGAGGAAAAGTTATGTTCGAATCATAATAACCCGATGCATTTGCAGATTAGAGTTTTAAGTAGTTTAAGTTAGATTATTCCTGTAGTAGCAACATAGTACATATTTAGGTTTTAATTTAATAGGCTTATCTTACTCACTAGTATACGTAGGAGCTGTTTCTATGCAGTTTTTACGTACATTAATGCTAATAAACCTGAGTATATCTGAACTTAAAAGTGATAGTAGTAATAGTTTACCTCTAATTGTTACCATAGGTATATTTTTTGATAGGGCATTATATAAACTATTACCATCTACTATAATTTGCCCAAGTGTACTCATATTTTCGGAAATAATCGCAAGCTATCTAGGTAGATTATGAAATAATATACCGGCTCGAAATGCGACTTTTAGTTTAAAATATATGGTATCAGCTGTTATTCTAAGTATAATTATTCTTAAGTTTGCATTTGCATATGACATCATTTACTGTATTGACTTTTACACAGAAAAACAATTACTTGCTAATATTTCAAAAAAACTGGGTATGGTTAAGTATTTTTTACAACAAGCTCAGGAAACTGATCGATTGTTCAAGCAGAGTCTTATAAATAATTTACCGGATGATGCCAAACAGGAACTATTAACTGCTAACAGGGAAACTGAGACAAACCTTAATGTAGAGAAAAAGGTCCTTAACAGCTTGAGGAATAAGTTAAATTCCGGTGATTATAGTAAATCATTTTATCCATCTTCACTAGGTAAAAGAAACACAAACCAATAAACCTCACGTGCCCATATGCAATTTTGCGAAAAAAAAAACTAAAAAAAAACCCCGCCATGCTTAATTGAGACTAATGCGAAAAGATCTTAATATGACTATATACGTTTTCAATGAAACTTTTACTAACGGTTTAAATTATACTGTGATAACCTTTATTACATTAACATCGATATTATGTGGTATTTTGGTTATAATAAGTAAAAATCCTATAGTATCTGTATTGTTTTTAATAGGGTTATTTCTTAGTATTGCAGGTTACTTAATGATGTTGGGTTTGAATTTCATAGGCTTATCTTACTTACTAGTATACGTAGGTGCTGTTTCTATACTGTTTTTATTTATATTAATGCTTATAAACGTAAGAATATCTGAACTTACTAGCGATAGTAGTAATAGTTTACCTCTAGCCGTTATTATAGGTATATTATTTAATACGGGATTGTATAAAGTAATACCGCATACTATAATTTGGCCGAATGAACTTGCCATGATAAA